GTGTATCAACCCTGCCATTCCATGCATGCCTAACTGTAAAAGACATAAGTAAAAACATAAAGATGATGTGTTGATTTGAAAAAAAGCACATTTGGCCACCCCTCTGCTCACTGGTTTTGCTGTCTGGCTCAGTGAACTTTTGATCCTCCTGTTGCACAGAAAATATATGTTTAATTTCATACACAGAAAATGGACAACTGCACAAAATAAATTTAACTTGTGGAATACCCTTTAACTTTTCAAGAATCTTTTTCCCAAAGAAGATTATGGAAACGCTGTTGGCAATATCTGGTACTATCTACAAAAAATTTGCTGTGCTAGTCTGTGAAGGGTGTGGTGATGAAAAAAGGAGAAGGGAGACTGATACTTCTTTAAAACAAATGGGTTTGGACCTTGGCCTCAGAACTGATCAGAAACAGAAAATGGGCTGCTATATTAAATGCATTCCCTTCACAGTTTACCCACAAGAAATATGTTATTTCTGGAAAATGCTGCTGAGCAGCTGGCAGGAAAAGCCAAGTGTTCAGCTTTTTAAGAGAGGAACACGTCTCTGGTCAGCCTGGTAGAAAGGGCTCAGCCAGGTGTAAAAGCAGTTTTTCCACTACTTGCTTTCCTGGATTCTTTCTTCCTCACAAAATTCAGAGCATCCCCCTACTTCTATGGAATTAAATAAAAAAAAAACCCTAAATTTTTGGTCACAAGATTATCCAATGTGGAGAACAGATAAGAATGAACAAAGATAAATATTTACCTTGAGCTACAACCTGTGATTTTTGTTAATTTGAATGTGCAGTGTAAAACGTCTTGCAGAGGAAAGGATTTGTTATCACTGCTTGTGCTTATGACAATTTTGAAGAACATGCTATCAAGAATATAAATTTCCCTTTAGTGCTTGTCCTGTAAAAACAGGGCCTCCTACACATTCTGAAAGTCAACTGGGACAGAAGGGAAAAATTCCAAGTATTTTGCATCACGATTGAAATTCTGGTAATGCTTTGTCATTTGTAGAAAGAAGTCAAGATATAGAAGAAAACTGATACCAGAAATTTTAGTTTTGTGACAGAGGCATGTTCACTGCTGAATTAACAAGGTAAACAGGGTTAGGGTTAAAAAAGTGTTTAAATCAGACCTGTTTCTATCTAGACTTGCAGGACAATCTGTTAAAATAAGAGCAGCACTGCTTCATATTTCAGGTTTGCCATAGGACCAACAGAGGTGTGCAGATGAGGAAGCTTGCTCTGGTGCTTGGGTCCTTTTAACCTACTACCTTTATGTGCTCCTAAGAGCAGAAGCCAGCCTGAAACACTTGCCTGATGACATTAGAAAGCCTATTTTTTAAAAAGCATTCAATTTCCAGCCCCATGACACAAGCACATGCAGCACGGCCATGTGCACCCCTGAGCCCTGGGCACATTCCACCACACATGTCTGTTATGCCACTGTCACACACTCATGACTGTGTTAAATCAAAGCCAACTGATGTCACTGCTAAAAGGCTGAGAAGCCCCACAGCGAAGCATCTTTACATTTGGGAAGTGTTAATGTGCCATACAAACATTTTGCCTTCCAAAGCCACCATATATACCAAAATGTCAAAAGCAATTAGTATAATGTGCACAGAAACACAGACACACACGGACAGAATATTCTCCAGGGTATTTTCAGTGAGTATAACCACTGTGCTGAGAGATCCAGGACAAAGGGAGATTCCCCTTCACAAATTCTCCCTGCCCATGGCATGGGGTGGGAACTAGATCATCTTTAAGGTGCCTTTCAACCCAAACAATTTGGTGATTTCATTAAATATATTGCTGCTTTAAATAAGAAAATATGCTGTGAAAGAAGATTGCTTTTTTAACCAGAGGTTTAAAAATTGTAATAACTGCTTTTGTTTGATTTTGATTTTTATGTTACAGGCTGACAAGAAAGAGGAAAACATCTGTAATTTCAGTATGAGAGCTACATGAAGGACATTGCACAAATGGACTCCTACTGCCCAGCTCCCTTCCTGACAGAGCTGAGTGGTCACCCACAGGAAGGAAAAAACAAAGTAGTAAATTCTGTAGTACAGGAATTATCAGCTTAATGACTTATCACTTTCCTCCAGGGCAGCTGGGGTGAGGGTAAGTGCAAGTAAGCAAGCAATGCTGCTGCAACATCAGGGCTGGAAGAACTCTTCCAAAGATTATCCTCCAGCAGTTGGTACTTTCCCTCCTGGGCTATGGAAGAGCCATGGCATTTGATCACATAAATGACCAAGCTGCTGCGTAAATGCAATGTTAAAGCCAAAAGCAAGAGCTAGAAAATAAAACCCAGCCCTGTCCAGCCAGTGAGCTCAGCATGGCCTTTGCACAGATGGGGAAGAGAAATGAACCCATAAAGCTGCAGAAAAACTTAAATGAAAAGTAAGGAATATTTAAGAAGAAATAGTCCTAATTAATAGTGATAGAACAACATATAGAGGAAAAATCCTTGCTTGCTAGACCTCTATAAAACCCTAGTCTCATATTTATCTGTGATACAAGACAAAGGGACAAACACAACCCTACACAGTCAGAACAAGGCTTGCTCTTTCCTCCATTCCCTTGCCACATTCCCAGCACAGGAACACGGCCTCTGCCCTGCCCTCCCTCCCTGCTCTGGCATTTCCAGCTGTGCTACCTGGCAGAAGGGAGCAGGAGCAGGAATGGGGTCACGACTCCTGTTAATTACGGAGCATCCAGCTCCACACACGGAGTTTGGTGTCGACAGGCAGGGGAAAGCCACCACTACAAGCATCTCATTATTTTCACAGGTCAGATTTCTCAATGGCTGTAAGCAATTAGAAAATAACTGAAGAAACACATCTAAGTAATGATGCAGAAACTGGTTTTTTCCAGGAAATCTGAGAGGGAATAAAAAAATCTGCTTTGTATCACACGGCTAAGCAGTACCTCTGGAGTTACAAATGGAATTGCACAAATGATAAGCAGTGGTGGATGAGCCTGGATTCCTGCAGAGGATACATTTAGTCATCTATAAAAAGCCCCTTTGCATCAGCACCACAAGTTAGTGGTCAGATCTGCCCCTTCCTGTTTCCTCAAAGTGGGTCACGAGTGCTCCCTAAGCCCTGTTCCCTGACGAGGCTGGGGCAGGCAGGGGCTTACAGTGCTGGCAGTGACTTTGCCACCAGAACACAGGGAATCTAGCATTGTGTTATGCACAAAGAAAAAGACACTTTCTTTTTTGTCTCAGCGCATTTATTATTTTATCTGAAATACAATGCTCCTTTTCATCAGGAGAATAATTGACAAATGTATTATTCCCCCATTCATTGCCTCAAAGCTGGAGTGAGTTAAAGCATGCCTGAAAGAAATCCTCTTTAAGCTGTTATGACCTGCTGTTTTTACTGTTAAATTTCAAGTGATTAACATGCCTGTTCCTTAAAGGCAAATGAAGAGCAAAATATCGTTTCCCCAGGAGCACATACCTTAAGCAGAGACACACAGCAAAGCAGTGTGGCCTCTATCAACTCTGTTTGGGACACAGAGAACAGCCTACTTCAAATGTTCACGGTATAAACTCATAAATCCACTATAATTCCAGTAGAAGATGTATCTAGAACCTACATGTGTGGGTTATTTTTCCCCACCAGAAGTTTTTTGGCTATGATATTAATGATGATTATTAACTAGGGACATCGAGATTCTTTCTTAAAATTATCAAAGCTAACAAAAAGTACAATTGTATTCTAATTGTAAACAATTAGTCCAGACAACAAAAAGAAGATAGTTATGATCTGGTTTTGCTGTCTTGACACTGATGCAGACAAAAACGTCAGACTTTTCAGCTTATGAAGAGATTTTTACTAATCTGGCAGATATGCTCCTTAGAATGATAAATGAGAGAATGATAAATGAGCAAAGGAGTGATAATGGCTTGGGGTTTGTGGGTGCCATTACACACTTGTTTTCTGTTTTTTTGCAATAGAACTGGTGACATAGTGGTTTTCACAAAAAGATACAAAAAGATACCAGATTTCAGAAATTTGAACACCAACAACGTTTTGTGGCATACCTTGAGAGTGGAATTGGAAGAAGGGCTTCTCCTCTCTACTGCACTTGATTTTAAAAGGCTGCATCAATCTAGCAGCTTTTAGGCTGCCAAGTCAAAATACTGGCAGAGGCAAGAATGAATGACAACCAACCAGACCTTCAAGGCACAGGTGTTTCCTCTGCTCTCCCACATGGGTCTTGCTAATCCCCTCCCATGACATGGGGAAGCTTTTCCACTGCCCTGAAACATGCTGTGGAAAACAAGATTCAGCAGCGAGTGGCTGGAGCAGAAAAGCACATGCAGTGCATTCTCATGACCTGCCACAGCCTGTGGAAATCACTGTGTGCACCAGAGCATGAAGAATGACTGAAATATTTCAAGTCCACGCTGCTGCTGCTGGGCTCTTCTGTGCTTCAGAAATGGGTAAGGGATCCCTGAGCATACCTGAGTTGTGCTATCAGAGAAGTCACAAACACTGTGGTGCTATATCTGAGGGGAAAAATTTTAAAAATACATTTTTCTACAGTTTTTAGTTCAGATTTCCTGTTTCAGATGAAACTTCTGGGCATTTCTGCCTATACCACCTTTGCTGATATTAAAAATTATCTTTCCTCTTATGACACATTCTTGATAGGAAGGAAACCCCTCGGGGTTCATTGGGAATTAGGTTGCCAAATGTTTTAGGATTGCTGGAAAGTACAGAGGAGAAGAATAAATAGGTTAAAACACGAGAAGAATAATGCTTGCTCACTCAGGCTTTCAGCACATACCAGGGACAACAGAATTCTAAAAGAGAGGAGAGGAAAAGGAAAGCACAAGCAAGCCTTGATTAGTTGCCAGTCAAAAAACAGCCACATTCACACTGACCATGAAAAAATCCCACAGGGACCTGAATCCTTCCTGCTTCCCCACAGCAGCACTAGAGCAGAGCCATTCCATCTCCCCCACAGTGACCCACAGGTTACCTGTGGCATCAAATATTATGGGCTGGCAGTTCCTGTTTGAGTCCCAGTTACACTTGAGCACCTGCCCTCCTTCTACGATGTTGTGCTGAGTAGTGTTTGCTTTTGGAGCTCCCACCAGAAGATATGTCCTGCAGGAAAAAGAAGAAGCAAAACAAAGGTTTAAACACCTAAGGCACAGCTGTTATAACTTTATGACATCTGAAGGGTTAATAAAACAAAAGTCTTGCCTACTCAAATCTAAATCCGACTACTCTCAGCTACAGAGAAATTTATATGAAGTTCTTCTCTTTCCTGCATGGAAAAGCATAAAAAAAAAAAAAAAATTACCAAAAACAGAGAGATATGATGAATCTAAAGTATCCAAGCCTGGTTAGGATTATATTTTAAATGAGAGAAACACATTTTATATCCTTCTTTTTTCCTTTCAAAAATACGTAAGTGTAGAGCAGAACAGGAAATTATGTACTTCTGCACTTTACGAAAGGCATCAGCCGGCATAATTTCTGGTTAATTTTGTGAGTTAGGGTAATTCAAGGAAGTCAGTCAAAAATGGAAACAATGTATAAACAAAGCAGTAGTGCACTCGGAGCTCAGCGTGTACTGAACGTGATGAGTCAGCCCTGCCCGAGCAAGGGCTCTTGTAAAAACAGTCTCGGAGTGCCAGCCACAGATCTGCATGTTAATGAATCCTTACCCACGATCGCTGCACAGTCATCATTTGCTTATTAGGACCTGCTGGGCTTTTCTGCATCTCTGCTTCCACAGACACTCGTTCAGAGCACTCCGAGCAGGAGCTGCCCCGAGACTGTGCCCGCACAGGGGGCAAAATTCACAAGTGCCCAAGGAAAAAACAGACTGAACAAGGCTCTTGGCATCTCCCAGCACCTTCTAGGGGTCCCAGCACCTCTGAGACCCACTTGACTCATCAGCACTTGACTGAGAAAGTCAGTTTGAAGCATGAAGTCATGCTTAGAAGACAAAAATCAAGTGCTTCCTTTCATCAGAATCAGTCTGCTCCTTCGCTTCCCTTTAGACTGCTCAGGAGGGAATGCAGCTTGCAGGAGCAAGTCTTGTCAGGCACCACACTTCTCTAGTTTGGGAACTGGGTTTGCTGAACAAGCTGCAGGACTGGTTGGAGAGAATGTCTACGGGCAGACAAATCCAGGCTTATCAAACTTGCTCTGGTTTTCAGAGTCATCTCCAGGCTCTGGAATTTAGCTAAGAGATAAGTATAGGCATAAACGTGTAGCACCTCATCAAAGCTCAGTTTGCATGAAGACCTACCAGTTTTCAACCTGTGTGACTATTCAGAACCTTAAAAATGTCCTGGCATGGACTCTGATAGAAAATCCAGGCTAGCTTGCAATCCATTAGTTTTCCTTAGTTGCCATTCATAGACTGTCTAGATTTCTAGAACAGGAATTTGAAACACTTTAATCAACTTCAACTCTTCAGGCAGAACAGAAATGTTTAAAAATAAACATTATAATGCCAAGTAAAGAAACATATCAATTATTATAATTGCGATCTATTAAAGAAGTGGTAGCTTACCTCCTATTTTACTCTTGTACCACTGACTTCTGAGAAGTCCCCCAAACAAAATGCTTAAAAGATTTAATCATTCCCATTCTAATTATATATTTCAATTTTTTCTTAAGCTAATATTTGTGATGAAGTTCATTAAAAAGATTACAAATAAAGGAGTCATTTTGTAGTTCCACAAAGGTCTTCCCCAAATAAAAAATTGCATTTTTATCATCAAAGACCAAGGAAGTAGATTTTGTCATAGCTCATATAATAATATGCAAATTACCCAAACACTAAGAAGTCTCCAATCCACATACTTTGGGAAAGAGGGAATACAGGCACAATTGTGTTTCCATGGGAATGCACCAGCTATGCTTTGATACTGCTAATTTCCTGAATCATGCTCCTGAACCATCCACCCCATCCCAATGCTGGGGCAAGACTGGGAGTGTTCTGGCACCTCTGGTGTGCCAACAGGAGCAGCCCCTTCCCAGGGCTTTCCATGGCCGACAAGGAAACTGGGAATTCCATGGAGGTGAACCCTGGACTATGAAGTGCAACTCCTCTGAAACAGAAGTTTTCAGAGAAGAAGCAGAGAAACCTGTTCCAGTTGTTATGGAGCTGTGCCCACTGTCAGGCACCACGCAGCCCCCTGACACAACACCACCACTTCCACTCCTGCAACACGACTTGCATTCAGGACTTGTAAATAGCTTTAGCTTGGCATCCAGCAGGTCAAAATAGACCGTGGAACAGCAGCTTGAGCATTCAGGAATTCATACCAGGCCTTTGTTGTCAGGCTAGACAATCCAAATAGCTTTAGCCCAACCAAACTGACTTAATCGCTGGTGCTCCCGTATAAAATAGGTGATAAATAAAAGCTCATCGAAGAAAAAAGAAAGATGTAGATACCATGTGACAGCCCATACGCCTGGACACGGCATACCAGTATTTCTGGCTATTTCAAGAGACAAAATATCAGTGTCCATAGGCATAAACTGAAAATTCAACACCACTGGAACCTGGTCCTGTAAAAGTTGCATAGCTACTTGATTTAATTAAGAACTTTAATGTAAAATAAAGTGTTTAGCTCAGCAGGTACAAACAAACTTTTAGTGATGACAAAAAACCGAGGGGAGAATTCCCTTATAAATATACAGAAGTTTTTCATGCTGCATGACAACCACACTGGGTTTTTTTACAGCAGTGCACTTTGAGGTCAATAGTTCTTATAAAAATAATGGAAAGGTTCCAAATAATGATTTCATGGGGAGCCGAGTCACGTAATTCCTTATCAGAAAGCAAGGAAGAAAGTTTATTACATGCATTTACCAGTCTCTTGATAACGCTACAGACACACATGCTGACTTAAATATAATGGGCAGGACAAAAATAGAAGCTTTTTTCTTTTAGTACCAAGACTTACAGGATTAAGATAGCAGAGAAAGATGGTGCAACATGTGCAAGTTAAGACAGGATGGCTTCTAATATATGTAGGCAATAAAAAAATGCAAACAAAGCTAGATGATGTACTGCAGAAAGGTTTGCTCAATAGCTGTACAATTTGTTTATAAAGTTTTACAAGCTAAGGATTAAGGGAGGAGAGAGAATATCCCCTCAGCAGGACGAAAGCCAGCAGCTTTTCCAGTCTTACAGCCCTTTCTAAAGATGGGAGAGGAGCGAGGGAAAAGTGACAAAAGCTGGATGTTAGTGTAGCCCGCATTTCAGAACTGGAGCCTGATTCATTCTGGGAGCACCGAGGCTGTGCAGTTAGCGACACGAGGATTCAAAGGTCTGCAACACAACAGCGACTACACACAGCCTAATCTTTAACATGAAACGGGAACGTATTCAGGAAGCAGACGCGGAGGGTGCTTACACGGAACTTTTCCTTCTCTAGACTCCTCAGCAGCTTGGTACTCGCACAGACTCATCACAGTCCAAACACAGCACTCCCGCAAAGCACGCTTAAACAGCAGACCTTCTGAAATGCCACGGCACACAGCTCCAGGAACCAAAATACCATAACTACATCTTTCTACGCTTTATTTATCACCACCATTATTTGCGTGAGACCAGGCTATGCAGAGAATCTCGCAGCACAAGGTCCATGTCCCGCTGGCCGCTCGGGACCGGGTTTGGCTCCCCGGCCAGGGCATCTCGGCCGCCAGAGCCGCCCCGGCGGGGCAGGGATGAGGAGCGGTCCCTGCTGGGGACCGCCGGGGGCAGGCAGAGCTCCATCCCCGCTCCGGGGCCTGAGCAAAGCCGCCACCCCTCCGAGACCGCTCCGGCCCGCCCGGGACAGGCGACAGCGGCTCGGCTGCTGAGGATCCGGGGGCTGCTCCCCATCCTCCTCCCGGCTCTCCTCCGGAGCCCCGGGGAGCGGCTCGGCGGGGCAGCGCGGGGCGGGGCGGGACGCGCACTTACGAGAACGGGTCGGGGGCGAAGAAGTCCACGGCGAAGCCGAAGTAGCTGCCCGCCGGGCCCGAGTAGACGGCCGGGCGCTCCACGTCCAGGTTGAAGGCGCTGCCCGGGGCCAGCGCGGCGCCCAGCAGGACCAGCATCACCGGCAGGCTCGCCATGGCCCGGCCCCGCTGCTCCGCGGGCGCGGCTCTGCCGGGACGGGACGGGACGGGACGGGACGCGCCGGCCCCGCGCCGAGGGGGCGGAGGGGCCGCGCGTTTCCCGCGGCGGGGCGGGGAGCGCAGCGCAGTCACTTCCCCTTTCAGCCTGGGACGGGGGCGGCAGGAAGGAGAGGCGGCATCATGTGGTGCCGGGGGCGGGCCCTGGCCGCTCCGAGCCCGGGCCGCCGCTCTCTTCCGCCGGGAGCGGGCAGGGAGCGCCCGGCACTGCCCGGCACCGCCCGGGGCTGCGCCTGCGGAACTCCGGCCCCGGAGCTGCCCTGCCGCTTTTATCTCTGCCCGAGCCCAAGGCTGGAGGAAGGTCAAGGAAATTTTCTTGTGACGGTAGCGAAGCCTTGGCACAGGCTGTGCAGAGAAGCTGTGGCTGCCCCATCCCTGGAAGTGTCCAAAGCCAAGCTGGACGGGGCTTGCAGCAACCTAGTCTAGTAGAAGGTGCCCTGGTCATAGCAGGGGGTGGGATGAGATGGTCCTTAAGGTCTCTTCCCTTCCACCCTACAGTGGATCCCCAAACCACTGTACCATCCTATGAAGGAGTTTTAGAAATTTGAAAGAGGGGGACACATCCGTGCCAGGCCTTACCAAGGTTTGGTGAAGCCCTGGTGAAAAAATCTTTCAGGAAAGCAAAGAGAGAAGGGAGTGCCAGTGTGGACCCACCCGTAGAGGAAAAAAAAAAGCAAACAAAAGACCTGATTTTAAAACATATAGGCTATCAAATGAAATACTACTAAATCCCAGGGTCTCAGCATCCGCCCAGCAGTAGGTGCAAGGCTGAGAAGAGTGGATCTGCAATCCCTCCTGCATGGAGGTCTCTGTTACTGTTGCACCCCTGCATCACCCACCTGGGGAAGAGGCAGCCAGTGCAGCTCCAACATCTTCAGTTGCAGTTTGTAGCTCTTGTATCATCTCTCACTAATAACATTTTAGCACTATTATCTACTCATTCAGCTGTAGGCTGCTGTCAAACCCTTCGTAGCCTTGTCCTCCTCAGCTGACACAAGAGTTCAACATCTGCTCACTATAGCAGTGTCTCAGGTAAAAGAAAACACGCTGAACACCTACAAAGAGCAAATAATTCATATTAATTCAGAGTATTAATTTGTACAGCATAACAGGACTAGAGTTTATTGCCACTAAAAAAGTCCAAACTTTTTGCTTTCCTCATGTGAGCATGACAAAAAGCAACAGAACACATAATGACGTTTCAGGCCCTAATTGCAAGTTAAAAATACTCCGTACATACTTACCAGGGGACCAATTTAGTCTAATGGGAATCCCAAAAGAAAAACATTTCCACAATAAGCAGAGGAAAACCCAAAAACCACCAGCTACTCCTGCATTCCATTCACTTGTTCTTGCTGTTAATTAATTATAATTTCTTCAGCAAGCCACCTCAAAAATTCTATGAAGAAGGTGAGTTCCTGTACATAGACCTGATACTTGTTGCTAATTTTTCTAACTTTGCTGCCTCAACAGGTTAAACAAAACACCCAACAAAACAAACACAGACCCTGTATTACTTTTATTGTTATTTAATCTCAGAGCTTTTGTACTACAGACCTGATCAAAGCAAAACTGCAGATGAGTTAATAAGTTCCCAAACTCTAGTAAATAGGGCAATAAACTAAAAGAGTGGTTTATGAATACTTTGATCAGTAAGCCAGTAACTTGGGGAAAAGGATTTATTTTCTCTACTTGATTGTATAACCTCACAACATCACACAAGCAGTGAAGGATAAGTTATCTTTAAGATACTATAATTTTTTAATCAAATGATCACTTTTGGCTTCCTTTTGGCTATGCAGCCCTTCTGCTTGTTGCCAGAAATTGCAAAGCCAGGCCATGGGACTAACTCAGACGGTTTACACGGAGTCAGGGGTTACTCACGCCACGGGAAACCTTTTCTCAGACTCTTTCCTCCCTTCAGGATGGCTCTGTGGCAGCAGTTCCGTGGCCGTGTGTCTGCTCGCCGCCCGTGGTTCTGCTGACTCAGCAGCGGGCTCCCCGCTCGGCTGCCGGCAGCTGACTCAGCGCTCCGGAGGAGCCCAATTCCCGTCTGGCCCCAATTCCCAACACGGCCCCAGTCAACCCGTCTAGACAGCCCAGAGCCGAGACACAGCTCCCTGCAAGGCATCACGGCCCCCGGAAAAAAAAAAAAAAATGAGGTGTACAGGCTGGGGATACACTTCTCATCAAAGCCAACCTTACTGTAAATGGGGAAAAATGCTTTCTGAGTGATTGATTTCATTGCTTGCATCGAGCTAAATGTCTGACAGAATCCTGGACAGACGAGTGAAAGTCAAAACCAGACTTTGCTGTTATGAAGAGTTCCAGTGAGGATGTGATTTTTCTTTCCTAGTTGGTTTGGTTCTCAGCGTGACTAACAAACAGATAAGGAACAGCCAATGAGATCATATTACAGAATGTAAACAAGTTAATTACGTGTTTCTATATTTACTTGTTACCTGTAGCTTTCAGTTCTCAGGCTAAGATATCCAGTGGTGAAATCAACAGCTAAGAAGCGGGCAGGACTCGGATTCCTTCTAAGACACCAAACTTTTTGTCTGTATTCAAAACAGAATGCAATTATTTTGGAAGTGATTGGAGTCTAAAGACTCCAACTTCATCCAACCGATCAAACTCGTATTTTGATACAAGTTTGTTGCAAGTTACTGGTCTTGTCTTGATAACTTTGTTACAAGTCACTGGTCTTGTTAGTGTCTAATCACACAACAAGCTATTAAAGCAGCTGAATAAAACTTTGTAAGATGCAAAGCACTTTTGGTAGGCAGGTATAATTTTTGTGCTATTCCCGAGTGTCCAGCCTGTGACAGAGTATTTCACAATGTTTTTCCTTTGAGTCTCCACCTCATGACATGAAAGGCAGCAGCAAGAAATGCACAAAGTGCCACAATTTGGTAGAAAATGCAAATGTGCAAACCACTGTGGTCCTGCTTCAAAGGGTCAGCAAGGGGTCCTGTATGTAAGCAATAAACTTCAGCCTCTAAAACAGAGCTTTACAGTACCAGCAGAATGAATATCTGAAGTAAAGAAAGGATCACCACTCATTTGTTCATCAAGACTCCTATTAGTCCCACATAAGAGCCTCCACTGATATAAGTTTTAGTAAATATTTTGCTCTCATGCCATCCAGACTCTTGGACTTTTCAAGAGGTTTAGCTGCTCTAAAGCAGATTTTTAAAGAAGTAACTCAGTTTCTAACAAGGCAATAGAAAAAGAAGTAAAAGATGGACTTCACATATTAGTTTGCTTTGGTCAGTTAGTGCCTTTTAATTTCTATTTTGTTTAATATTATTTTTAATATCCATTAGGAAAAATAAAACATTACATCTGAAAACTGTAGAAGCATTAAGAGATGAAACACGAGGAAACCACAAGAGATGTTTAGGCTTGATTTGCTGCATGGCTCCTGTGAGCAATTCACATCAGCCCAGTCTCATTGGGTTGTTAGCAAAAGCCGTCCTTAGCCCGGGGCTATGGGGCAATGTTTTCACTAGGACAACAAGGGTATGGCTACATTTGTTAAAACAGCTCCTAGCACGGAGTCTGAAATCTCCCAGTTCAAAAGGAAGTGAGCTGTACCAGGTTTTTTCCTGATTAGTTCAATACTGATAGCTGTACTACTCCAGTGTTAGTCAAAGTCTGTCTGCAATACCCTTCCTGTGTTTTATAGAGTTCATTACTCACCAGGCCCTTTTTTTACATTAGGATTTCATAGCAACAAATTCAGGGACAGCACTGCTTGATTTACCCAAGGATACATATTTCTTCAGTCTGACAAAGCTGGTCTTTATCATTCACATGTGACTCAGGTTTTGCTTCACAAAGCACTCAGCAGATCACCAAACAAATATATCCAGATGCTGCTCACTCACACCCCCACAGACACAGATATTTTTAAAGAGTACTTCCCCCTAGAGCAAAGCTTTGACAGGAAACAATGTAATAAAAGGAGAAATGGATCAGGTAAAAACCTAATTTCTCTGCACCATCTCTCTGAAAATGTTTTCACAATATGCGTGCATATAGAAGATGTAACAGAGACAAAAGCTAAACACCACCCTGCTCGGTTAAGGAAGAGGGTGTGAGAACACACCAGCCCAGAGGGAAAAGCCTGGGAAGTCACCACACCTATCCCACAGAAGGAATGCACTGCCCTTGGGTAATCATTGATGGAGCTCCCAGGAGAGAGCCATGGAGATATGGGGCTCTTGGATCTTCTGGTGGGAAGGGTCTCAGGAAAGCTTTTTAGAAGGGGATGGGAAGAATTAGCTAATCTAGAGAGCATGGTGGAACTGGCCTTCTGCTCCTAGAGTGGGAAAAGAGATGAAACATTGAAATCAACAGGCTGTGCACTTGTCTCACATAGAATATGTATATTGTGTATCAAAGTTATGTACTTCTGCTTCTCCTGCCCCACTGAAAGGTCTGAGCCGGCACAGCAGCTGTGAAGCCCATGAGATGGAAAGCTCCAGATCCCATGTGAGTTACTCCTGCAGTGATTGCTCCTTTACAGGACAATTCCATCACACAGAACTGCACCTGGACCTGCATTTCTTCCTAATCTACCCCTCTGCCTGTATCCAGCAAAGACTGTAAATACACAACAGTCACAATTAATACTGGAGTACATGTGATTAAACAAAGAATCATCCTTCCTGTCTCTTCATCACTCTCTCCTCCACTTCTTTCTTCCTTTCTTGGAAGGAAGGTACATCCTACATTGCTTGCTGGATGCCATGAATTTTAACTCTACCTTTTTGTATTCACAAAGACTCTCTAGAACATGCTGCTTTTATGCAGTTCCCTGATGGTGAGGAAGAGATTTATGTATTCTGCCATCATCTTAGTTACATCTTATTCCCCTTCCTAAGAACAACCATTTCCTTCTTATGCCTGCCACTG